GAAGAGAGAGAGAGAGAGCAGAGAGAGAGAGAGAGGAGAAGAGAGAGAGAGAGAGAGAGAGAGAGACCGTACGTCGAGCGGTTAAGATTTGTGCCCAACTGTTGACGCCCGGACGCACGGACGATCGGACGATCGGACGATCGGACGGACGATCAAGCGATTCTACAAGCTGCATCTGACTATGTCAGATGAGCTAAAAATTCAAGCACAAAATCAACATTTACTAAATCCAAGTACTTTTCAAGGATTCCCCTCAAGTTCAAGGACCTTTCAAGGACTGTGCAAACCATGTAATCCAGCCGTCGTTTTATGACAGACAAAAGGATAGTACACCCGTACGTAACATTATCATTGGGGGAAAGAACTCTTACAATAAAGATTAAACTCTGCAGAAGTAAGATAACACCAAATATATAGACTACAAGATTTTACTCCTACTACAAACATGTGAATACAAAATATCAATAACTTTTGTTGTACAGACACATGATAGCAATATACAATTGCTTACATGAATATTATTGGTCATTCAGATACAACATGGAAAAACATTGGAGATTACAATGCAATTTTAAGCAAACATGCAGCAGAATTTTTATTGAACAGGTACCTAAACGACAGATGAAGGATTGAGTATAATTTAAATAGTGAAGAATAGATTACAGTAATACACATCAAGACAATCGATTAGACAGAAAACTATAACCACAACATAAACACATTTACAAATAATCTTCCGGAATCTTTATTGACATGGAGTCTTACTATCTGATCCTTTATGATAAAACAAACACACACGTTTTGTTTCAAGCGAGTGCTAAGATGGACTGTCTAATCACAATGAAACAATGACAACACATAATATATAATTTACTGCCACATTTAATGAGATAAAATGGCACTAGATGTCACCTATGTTATATAAAAAAAGAGAAAAAAACCAAATATTTTGAATGACAATGTACAATATTCACATGTAAATTTCATGTGTCCAGCGGCATACCTGAATATCAAGTAGAAATTATAGACTGGTCGGAACAGGGTAGTGTGAGACAAGTGGCCTCGTTATGATATACACAACACTGATACACTACTATGCAGTTTATGTCTAAATAGGTAACACAGATGACAGTTAAAAATATGCCATTACTCAGAATGCCTGATTTCCAAGTGGCTACAGTAGTTTTTAAGATATCATATAAAACCGTTAGTTTACATTAAAATTCCACTTTGGCAGTGATTGCAACCGACAACAAACAACACTATTCACAACTTCAGGTGCTATCAGGAAAACCATTTCATAATCAAACCCGACATCAGTGACGTGAAGTTACATTGTAGGTGGATGGACCGTCAGTGTTTTTGTACAATATATACTGAAAACTAAACTGTAAACTGAGACCTTGAAAGTAAATGTCGTTTATGCACGTTCACCACGGATGCGACGAGCCAGCTGGATGTCTTTGGGCATAATTGTGACTCTCTTAGCATGAATAGCGCACAAGTTGGTATCTTCGAACAGACCAACCAGGTATGCTTCACTAGCTTCCTGCAATATAAAACAAAAATCTTGTATCAACAAAAGTTCACAGAAAATAGGGACAACTGAAACCACTACAATTATTATCTCAATTACTGATAGATAAGCTGGTGAATAAAATTGTAGAGTTTCTATTCTATTCTAGTTTTTATTCCAGAATCGGAAATTTCCCACCATCCACCAAGCTTGTACAAGAACACATTCTTTCTTTTGCTACAGATGCAGCTTCTTGATTATGTTACAGCAGATCACATGAAACTTTAGTTGAAACTTAGTATTTCACTTCATAGAAACAGTTATCAATTAAAATTTCATACATATCAAAGAATGGTGTTATGTCAGATACCACAACTACATTGCTACGACCAGCTAAGGAAGTTAAGTTAGTGTGTAATTATTAGCCCTATATCATTAACTTTACCTGCAGCGCTCCAATAGCTGCACTCTGAAATCTAAGATCTGTCTTGAAGTCCTGTGCAATTTCTCGTACGAGACGCTGGAATGGCAACTTGCGAATGAGCAGCTCCGTAGACTTCTGGTATCGTCTGATTTCTCTCAGCGCAACGGTACCTGGCCTGTAACGATGGGGCTTCTTCACACCACCTGTAGACGGCGCACTTTTACGTGCAGCCTTAGTGGCCAGCTGCTTACGTGGAGCCTTGCCTCCCGTTGACTTACGCGCAGTCTGCTTGGTACGTGCCATCTTTCACTAAAACAAATTATGATTCAACTTATAGAAACATAACAAATCATTTTTAAACCAATATTAAATTAGGTAAACAATCACATTGTCAATTATCACAAGTGCTTAATACAGATGTCAGATACAGTTAAGAACTGACTTAATATTAAGAAGAAATTGAAATATATTACACAGTAATTTTTCCCTTCATAATTAGCAAGAACTTCAAATGAGCCATCACAGGGGCTGTGTATCAATGTATTAACTGTTAAACATCTAGACTTGGTCAGTGACCAACCTATTCCAAGTGCTAATACCGTACTCAATGGCCCACCTACCAACACGAACGGCGCTGTACACGCGAGTACAATGACCGCACAACGAATGAGTCGACGGATGCAGTTTGTAAACACTACGAACTATATTTGTCACTTGTGCCTATGAATGTTTCTTACATACACATTTTTATGTTCATTAAGCTTTAGAAAATCCTCACAAATTTGTGCTCCCACCCAAAATCATTCCACCTATTGTTCTCTCAGAGCCAACTGCCGTGTGATGCGCCATGATGCACGACATAAACAAACGGCAAGAAAGAGACATTTTCAATACTACAGTTACCTACAAAGGATAGAATTTGTTTACTTCTCTTTACATTTTTATGTGACTAGAAATGCTAGTTAAGATGCCTGTTATAAAATTAAAACGTAAACATGCATACCTTAGTTGATTTTCTCTATGGGATTCCTAGCAATATGGGTAAAGTACCTATGCTTACACACTGTATTCGTTGTAACGGCTTTCCTATGGCTTATATAGTGACCCTGACGTCATGGTGTCACTGCTTATGATTGGCGTCTGTATACGCTTGCCCCATTGGCTGAATGCAGCCAACTTCTTATTGGACTATATATCACCTTATTTGCTCGCTTATTGGCTGTAAAATGCAGTTCTTCTATTGGCTCCGAAGCTGTGCAGCTCAATCCTCCGCTATCCTTCCGTCCTGTCATCACTACGAATCATTCAAATATACATTGGATCAAAAGTAGATTGGATCAAGAGCGTATAAAGAAGGATACATTCTTTATACGCTCTTAATTGGATATATGGAAAACTGAATAAAAACATTTAAAACGGTAACATATCAAAAGTAGCAACTGCGTTGGGTTACGGTTAAATGAAGATGAGACGCGAGTGCAATAATGTTATCATAATACCCTATAACATTTACAATTTACAATACAAATTACTGGCACTGCTTATACACGCTAACGCGTCATTGTATCTGACATTCGCTGATGAGACGACCATGGTCGTGGTTGCATTTTCTGGACTGTTACATAGTTAGTTACATAGGACAGGGCCGTAGGCTGAGCAAATTCCTAGAGGGGGGGGGGCAAAATTTCATGACTCAATTAACTGTTAGTTACGATTATTATCTCAACTTTTTTAATTTTGCTCCAAAATCTAGGGGCAGCTGCTATCGGAACTTGGGTACCGGTACCGCCATAGTTGCCCGGTATATTTGGCGCGCAAAATTATAGTGAACGGGTACGTTTGATATTTAGCCATCACTACAATTAAGTCATCCGTTGTATTTTTTCTCCGCTATTACCCAGAGTAACCCATTGCAATATATGCTAACGATCTAATAATCGACTACATGTACATATATTCTTTGCGATACTTGTTCCGATTTTACCGCCACGTTTGCGAAGATATAGAATAAAAACTCATGCAATATATTAAATTGCCTTCCTCGAAATAAAAAAATAAAATACATTGTGATCAATCAATTGTGGTATTATTATATTGTTTATAGTTTATAGCAATTTACGGCCTCATGCCGCATCGGGGGCCCAAGAGGATAAGTGAGTAATATATATAGCTTTGGTGGGTGGTGAGGCGAAAATTTGAAGTTTACTTGTCTGATTATTCGATACCGGTTTGTGTATATTATCAGTTTACGAAAGCAACCTGATCACACCATTAACTTTCACAATACAAATCTATAATTCACAAGTCCATTATAGCGAACCAGGGAATGCCATAATCCGATAAAACATAATATAGTTCACTTAAGTTTACATAATAATATCAGAAAGTATTTATTCATTATAAAGATTCTTATAGTAGGTTCACTGGATGATTGATTACATAGATAATAACAGTTAGGAGACAGAGTAATTATAGTTCGCCGACAAAATGCTTTGTTTATGTTGATATCTCCACGATCAATATGAAACACCGAATGTTTTACTAACAGATTTAGTGCCAAACTGAAACGGTTACATCAAGGAGTTAGAACTAATGAGTACAACTAGGAATCCTTCCTATGTATGGCTCCTACTATGTGTTTTGACCGTTTAGACGCCTAAACCACCCACGCGTGTACGAATGGGCGTGTTTTCAGTTACCCGGCCCCCGGCCGACCCCTGTCTTTATAGCATTATATGCGAAAACATGAGACAAGAATTCGTCCTAACCCCACCTCTGGCGTCGCAATACAATGACATTCTCTTGTTTTGTCTCGCGATGATCGTTATACGGTTCTTGGGTCTAACTAGGGGAAATTATAGGCTAGTATTGTTAGGCTAGGTAGGTTTATTCTACAAGACAACTCTCTGTCAGTAACCGCAAAATAAACATGAAAATTACGCACATACCATAGCAATTAGGAAATATATAGGGATCCTACCAACTTTTACTGCAGTGTAAATGGAGACACGCCCAATATCATTAGTGTTTTACATAATCGTTATATGAATAACTTGGTATTTTCCACATGGCAGTGTACATTTATAAAAGTAGGACGACAACTCAAATAGAAAGATTAGAAACCGAATGAAATTAATTACTAGATCTGCGAGGGGAATAACAGCCGCTTAATTGATTTAAAACATTAAAAGTAAAAGAACTATAGAAATAGATTCTTTAAACATACATTTGCACTATTATCTATAAACAAATATTTACTAATAGGCTTCCTTTCCCCCAAGATATTCAATCGTTTCAGCTTGACAATGAATATGTAGATAAACGTTTCGATATCGATACTTTAAACATAAATAAGGACAGTGGGAAAGCTTGTAAACCTAAACACGCACGTAACCTAATGGGCATTTTTAAAGTGACATTTTACAGTCAATGATTACAGTCGACATCAGAAACTGGCTTAAGCCATATGATTTACGTATACTATTTATGGTAACTAAAATAAGCTAATAATATAATTCTATTATTACGATCAATGTCTTTGCCACGAGTCTTTTAGATCGTTTGGACAATTACTGAGATTATACTCCTAATTGCAGTCTAGCTGATAATTCAAAAGCACAAAAGCTCTAACCGACATCTGAATATAAATGTCTAGCGTTCTTTACAAGCGCAGTTTATGTTTCGATGTTCTATAATTTAATAATTTCAGCCCGACTGTTGCCAGGATCCCGTAAACAAGTGTAGAACAGTTGGCGTGTATAAACTTTGCCTATAATACCAAATGTAAGGCAATGCCTTGAAAATGAAATGTATATGCACATGAATATATATATATATATATATATATATATATATATATATATATATGTACATACACATATACACACACATTGTATAGATATGTTCGTGATATACAGGATCGAGTCTAGTCGAGTGGAAATACACAAGTTAATGAACGTGACTGTTTGATTTACAATGAAAAGGACTACGACATTTCAGAAAGACTGGCGTCTTCACTTCTGGCGTACACACCACGAGCAATACTGATGCAAAACTACACGCGGGGGTGTAACCGCTGACTGGAGATGGTCCATATAGGCATAAACCTACACGATGCCACCATTATAACCCACCCCACCCAACCCCTGACAAACGGACCACCCCCCAGCAAAACAGATATAATCCGACCACTTTAATTTATTAAAGTTTACACAATCACAAACAGTAAAGTGCTGTCGTACCTGTACATGAGTGACCGCCCTACGTATCACACGTATATGCAACCTACATACTAGCTCTACCTCTTGTGGAGCGAAGACCACCCCCCGCACAGGTAGAGCTACCTATAGACCACCCTATTTGATTGGGTTGGATATTGCGGTCAATACTCAATTGAAAACGGATCTTTAATATGTTTATAATAATAGGTGCACTACTATTTATGCTTAAAATTTAACACTCTCGCATTCGTTTTATCGTACATCGTACCGAAAACCAAAGTCTACACGATCTGGCACAATTGGGAATTGCAGACGCTATGCATTCCTAGACATCACGAAGCTCCCGAATTTAAATACTTATTACAATTTAAAAATCAACCTAAATGATATAATAATTTTAAACAACCTAAAGCCGAGACGTTATCATCTCGGATAAAACACCATGCAGTAATTTCATGTTCTAATCTTTGGAGAAAATATATCTTAGAAAAATCACGTGTCAATGTCGGGCAAAAATGCGCTCTTTTTACAATCATGAAAATTTCTCAAAGTTCACATCACACTCAGCTCTTCTCAACTTCAGTTCTCTCACGTTTCATATACCAAAAAATTATACTTCCAAAGTACAAAAATATACTTTCTAATTGTTACTGTCTACAATTACATGTTTGCTACATATGGTCCATAAATCTACCTGCGAAACTGAATGGCGAAACAAGAGCCAGATTCAATGTACCTTACCAGACAGCAGTAAGGTTCTAGTAACGCATATGTACAATAGGAAGCGATAGAATCGGTACCGATGGCAGCTTTGGTAAATTGAAATCCTATAATGGAACTATGCGCTTAAAAGGTACACAGGTGAGGACAAACGCTCGCGCGCACACACACGCACGCACGCACGCACGCACGCACGCACGCACACACACACACGCACACCTAAATCGACATCAAAGTTACTGGCAGCGAAATGGATACACAGCGTTATGAAACACAATGTTAGTGATAGAAGCGCACCGTATGAAGCCAAGCATTGATATTCCGCCTGTTTGCGATACGGGCACCACTACAGGTGTGCTACAACAACAACAACCCCTGTATCTCTTTCACTCAGACGGAGTCTGAAGTCCAACCGGAACACTGTCTCCCGAGTTCTGTTAGAGACTGACCTATCGGTAATACTGATAGCCAATGACAAGAGTTGAAGCCGTTAACACATGGTATTGTTAGTATCAATGTTAGGCTACACCAAGGAGCATAGAAGCTAGAAACATACACTTGCAGTATGGACCTATCGCGTGACCAAACCGTATTCGCTTCGATTGAAAATGTGAACGTGTTGCGTGAAACTTGCTTTTCCTACAAACACGCATTGCGCTATTGCATGGGTTGTGCGTTTGTCCAGTCGAGAACTAGCATGCGATATGACCTCGCCGGTAATGAGACTGAGAATTTTACTCAGAAACCGCAAGCATCATTGTATTTTCCCCAGATTTTTAGAGTGCAATTGATCCGATGCAAACCTAACTATTACAACCGGAATAGACGAGGACGCTATGAACATGGCGAGTGCTATTCAAACAACCATCAGGTGACATCGACTGCTCTAATGACACGACATGTCAACGATAAGCACGTACGGGATCCAGAGCAAAGCCGGTGGTTGGGATTGCAAACCTACTTTGGATATACATCATACACGAGATAGCCAGTGGCAGAACAGTACAGGGTACAAATGCGTAATAAATTTATAGTGGTTTCAAAATATATAATGGTTTTTCCTGACGATACGATAGGTATCTATCTCCACGAGAATCCATCCTACCAATACAGTGTCCAGCAGGTATGCATATATGCATACTTGTACTGTGTTACAGAGGCCTTAAACATTTACAAGCATAATTACGGATACACACGTGAGAAAACCAAGAGACATACACACCTTATAGATTTAACTGCCTTCTAGTACGTTAGGGCCTACTATTCAATCAATAGGCATGAACCCACTAGTAAACTTGCTAAGGCAGTGCCTTCATACTGTCTTAACAGTACGCAAAATTGCGAATAAAACTTTTTGTCTAGTGCCAAACTACATTGGGTTGCAAGATTACAAAGAAAAAATAAACAGCTGATGGCAGATTTTAACACCACACTGAACAACTATCACACTAATTATGCAGTTTTTTTGGTAATACACTTACCGTACACGGTAAGAAAAACTGTACACAAACAAGTGTTTAAAAGTACCATAATGGAAGTGTAGCGCAGAACGCATGATATTGGAAACGCCAATTAGTAGGAAATTCATATTGCCAATCAGTGATACAAAATATAACACAACTTCAGCTTTCAGCATAATTTTCACTTAAATTAGGATTAAATTATTTAGTGTTAAGCTCCGCAGAAATTTTTACTGTTCAATATTAATGAGATACTAGCAAAATCCTAAATTTGTTAATTAACGATACGTTAGTTGGCATTTACTGTTGGCACCAGTCTCTTGTGCTTGTAACGTTATGCTGGGTAGCAAAGTTAAACCTTGCTACATACACACAGCGAGCTTATAACGAAGGTGATATTACATCAATCTCCAGCTACTATTATAATGTTAAAATAGCAATATAACATAAACCATAATTTAACTGAAGCTAACAGCGAGTGATAAAATATTTCAATTGTTTATCATATTAATGATTGTCAAATTACAAGCTGGCCGCGTTTATTATGCATAAACAACTTGGACCATCCTATGTCACCCCTGCGACACAGCACAGGGAGTGGTGCCATTCTTAATGCAAATAGTAAATTTTTAGTTATTATTCAATATGGTACAATTATGTTATTAATACTGAACAGTAAAATTATTTAAAATATACAAAGCCCACACTTAACGTTAAAATAATGCTGACAAATGAAGTATAGTTATTCTTCAAAAAGTTCACAAAACATCGTTTAAAGATCTGGATATCTAGACAGCTCAAATGCTGGCTAAAATATATCGAAGAAAGGGAAGAAGATATAGTGTAGATGAGTAAATGTGGAGAGCAAAATATTTTCCAGCTCACATACTTGTACAATAATCTGTGATTGGCGCAATAACCATCTGTTATATTGCTGTGAACTGAAGCTTAGCTTAACCTTCTTTATGAACACACACGATACAAATAATTCTGGTCACAATGCTTCTTAAACTATGTAAGCTACTTACTAATTATTTCTGCACAATCTAAACCCGCTTACACAATTACACATACATCCACGTAACACTCTGTAACTATCACTATGTAGCTAAAGTGCAGGCCGTGTTTATACATCACTCGATCGCTTCTCCTTAATACTAAAATGACAGTAGTACTCCATAAGTACAAAACTCTTAAAGAATACAAAATACACTCAGCCAAAATGCAATGCCGTCGCAGCAATCTGTAATCGACAGAGATCCAAAAGAGATTGCGAATTCAAATCTCCGCGTGGCACTGGTAAAAACAACACCGCTAAACCTGATTTAAGAACAATTTGTTAATCCTAGAAGATCGAGGTGTTATAAGCCAGGTCGCCCGACACTGGACTTTTGAGTGATGGTCTGATGACAGTAGGGACATTCTTGTTGCTGCGGTGCACACGTCTCACAGAGAACATAATGGTTGCAGGGCAAGATGGCTACTGTGCGATTCTTCTCTTGGCACACTAAACATTTGACTGCCTGACTTTTGAATATCGCCTACAAAGCAAGACAAGAATGCAAAATGAAAATTAGAATGCAAACATAAAACTTTTGTTTATGACGAATAAAAAGTTCATATTGTTAATAAATGTATCACCAGTTGTAGAACCTCACAAGCATGTTTTTAACACGCATAGTCTTTTGTCGTAAAATCGAGAAATTGACGCGATTTTCAGCAATTTTTCAATTTCCCAACTCAAAATCGATAGCGTGAACAGAAAAGTTGATGTTGAGAAATTGAAAAATTGAAAAGGTGATTTGTCGGGCAATATGGAACGTGCTCTATTTTGCTCGATTTTGCCCGATACTTTGTCATGAAATCGTAAAAGCGCTGCGCGCTGATTGGCCAGTTCCTACGTGTAAATGTCACTAATCACTGTGGGCTAATTCACACGGGTTATATTGTGCCCAAATAACAAATGTGGGTGAAAAACAAAACATAATAGACAGTTTTCATCAACTTTCAAAGACAAAAGTCTATAGTGTCAACAGATGTTACTGAAAGATTTCTTGATAAGAAATTGAAAAATCTTTACAAAAGATTTTGAAAAGATTTTACTTCAAAGATTTTCAAAAACAAAAAGTCGATAGTGTGAACCTAGCTTACCTTTTCAACTCTTTCTAGATCTAGTCTCATTTGCTGCTGTATGTGTTTCAACTTGGGCAATGGCACCTCCTCAAGTCCTGAACCAATTGCTAGCACTCGTAGATACTGCCCACTCGTCAGCTTTTCAAGCTCCAGTTGTAACTGGCTGATTTTAGATAATGCCTGTGGGATAGCAAACGCACAATTCAACACATTGTTCACTAATGCACTTGTCCATTAGATGCAATGACACAAACAGCTACACAAAAATGCACTAGCGGTATATGTTCAGCAATAGCTGATAGCAATATTAACAGCGTTACCTGAACAGATCGTTACTAATATCTCTCACAACACATAGTGTCATAGTCTTGGCAAAAAGAGTTACAAAGCTCTCTATGTAAAACCCTGCATTTTCAGACGCACACATGCACCACACGACTGTGGCGGTGACTACCGACAGCTGATGTATCGTGGCACAGCTCACCTCCTCTCTCTCGTGCATTCCCTGCTGCTTCTCATGCTCCGTCAGCTTGGCCCTCCGCATCGCGTCCTCAGCTTCCCGCTTCCACGCCTCGCACGCCTGCATCAAATAGCATCGCCGTGACAACAGACGACATTTTTGCAAGCAGCGAATGAGTAAGCCGTGTGCAACCAACAAATCCAGCAACGCGCAACTCCTGAAGATGCACACCTTGATGAAATGTCAAGGCTCTGACTAGCTGCCTCATTATGATCTACACATAACTGCATCACTATGTAACTACACAGTGTACGTAACTATGTCAGGAAAGTAGCCAAAAAACTCAAATCTGCTTTGAAGAAAATTTCGTTTCGTCGAAAACGTCTGTTCTGCAAGATCACGATCGTCGGTTTCGTGAAGCAAAGCACCGAAAGGTAGAGCGGCAGGGACCGCCCCGAACGCGCGCAATACGCACCGTTCTAGCCTGGTGCATGCTCTCTTCCCAAGAAGCCAGCTTGGCTCTGTTGGATATGAGCTCCTCTCGCAGTTTCTGCACCTCGCTCGCGCTGCTGCCGGCAAACACGGTGCTGGTGACGAGAGGCGAGTGGCGGCCCAGCGCTGTCGGCGACATGCTGTGCGAGTTGAAGTCCATGATGCCACCGGGGAGACTTTGATATTTCGAATGCGTGGAGTTCGGATGGCACAGAAAAGTACTCTGCAGAGACGTGGAGGCGGGAATTTTGGCGAACTCGCACAAAACGCAAATAGTCGTCCGAATTCGTGGGCTAGTTGACGCGACCCTAACGTTAATATCTGCCGAAATTCATTACGTCTATAAATGATAATGACTCCAGTCATACAATTATACTGAACCAACACAAACGTGTCAATGAATGTGTGACCTTTCTTTCAGAGGAACGGCGAGTGAAAACGAGGGGATGTAGGGAAGGGGAGGGGGAAAGCGAGGCGGGAGAAAGAGAGAGAGGGGGGGGGGAGAAACATGCTGCTACCTGGTCGATGCCGTGATGGCTGTTGTGATGCACACGCAGACTACTCGTGAGTCCACCGACCAGCGGGGAGTGCGGTGGCGAATGCGACAGGTTATTGGTAATGGTGCTGCACGACGATGTTGCGGGAATGTTCACTGGTGCACTAGACACGAGCAATCCTGGAAAAGAAGCACCACACATAAACACACACACACAAAGGACTTCATATTGTTCTAGAGCAGGCTACTCTTAGCAAAATAACGAACGAGTCATTTGAAACAAAGGCGTTTTTTAACAGGCTGTAGTTACACGTTACACAGTACAGCCTCTACAAACAGATTTCTACTAGCCATGCTAATATTCCATATTATCGTCACGTGATTGCACGGAAAATTCAGTAGTCTAAACATTCTACCCTTAAGGTTTCAGATAGAGAGTGATGCAGTGGTCAAACAGCATAGACAGAGTATGACAGGTTGGATGAAATCCGAGTGAGATTAAAACAAGTTGGATGGAGATAACGTATGATAGAGATAGGTATGATGCAGTTAGGGACCCTGTTTCCACCCAACCTAAGTTATATTCTAACTTTGGATATAAATGGGAGATTGTATGAAATTAAAGGGAGAGCAGTGGTGAGACTCCCAGAGATATGAGTTGGATGTATAGACACAAAGGATGCTACCGATTATTACACTTATACCGATAAGTGAAGATTATTAGCGCAATATGAATTGAAAGATTTCTCATTGGATGTATGAACATACCCGTGTAGTTATTAGAGCTAAAACCAGCACTATGTGAACTGCTAACTGAGTTGCTATCATTATCAATCTCTTTATCTATCGCAGCCAAGTTACTGATGTCTTCCAACGTCATGAGGTCATCCAATGCATTGCCTGCAAACCAGACGCGCAATTAACACATTTGAGAAGCACATGTAAACACATTACTACATAATCCTAGAACAGGTCACTAACCAAGTACGCACTAAGCAACTATTACACAAACAAAGGAAACCACGAGTCCGAGGCCGGATCCGACAATACGCTCACGCTGACAGTGTGAATCATGCAAGACAGGACCTCTCTAGCCAATCACCTATCACTTTTACCACAACTGAAATGTCGAGATGATGATCCGAGAGAAGTACATAGCATTCACATCAAGCACACGACTAGAGAAGCGTGTCGCGCATGCATCGCCGCAAGGCGAATCAAACGCACCTATAACGGATTCCACAGTGTCGCTAGGTGGATAGAAGGGCATAGCAAGTGCTGACATTGCTGAACCGGTGGAGCCCGGCGTGGTCGGTGGAGTACCAGATAGACTAGCCGGATTGAGATTATGCACGAGGCAGAGGTTCTGCTTGCGTTTCGCTCGCTCTCCCGGATCTAACGCGGGGTCATTGTCGATTGCTAAAATCTGCTTGCGTATACTAGCCTGTAACAGAGAAGCCCATTCATCTGTGAACAAACAATGTTTGCAAATCTTCGCTCAATACGAGTGCGTTAAATATGAAGGCTGCTGCGGGCTGTATATCATATTACGTATTACGCACTATACAATATACTCTGTGCATGGAAGCAATCACGTACGATCCGAACGCTCACTCGGCGCTGAATCCGATAAAGTGCCAAATAATTTCATGCGTATATCGCAGACATTATGCCGTCCTTACAATGGCGATTTAGAGGTAGCGTGATACAGCTTAAAAGTCGAACTCTATGTAGTCATAATTACTCCTCCCCACACACAACAATTTACCGCACGATTGCTGCGCAATGCACAAGGTAAAAACGTTTTATTAATTGGCTTACAGTCCTTTAGGTCGATTAAGGCAAACGAGACATCTTTTAGGAATGGTCTCGCCATTACATAGTGGGTACGAACTTATTTAGCACATTTCATCATGTATTATACGTCTACTGCAAGGAGCTAAATATAACAAGGAGAGGAAGCGCCGCCATATCTGGCCCAGATATTTGCCATATTTGGTCATATTGGTCCAGAACAGATTAGTGTTCTATTGTCTATGGGGGACGGATCCGCACAGCCGTTTCAGCTGATTATGGTCCATAGATGGCGTCCTTGAGGCGAAAAGCACACAGCCAATCCGCTTCCTCTCCTTGTTATATTTAGCTTCTTGCAGCAAACTAGTTATGATTGCAGCAACACATTTCATCATGTATTATACGTCTACTGCACCTGGGCATCTTCCCGTTCCGATCCCGGCGCTTTCTGATAGGTGGAGCCACCATCGGACGCTACACTACCAGACCGAGGCTTTCCAATTGGAGCCATGTGGAAGGTGTTAATGATGCTTTCGCTATAGCTACCCATAGGTATTGAATTCTGCAAGGCAATGTGGATTTTTCGCTCAACACACCATTTTCTAAAAACGTGTACACCAATAACCATTAAGAGAGGAAGTACAGTAGACGGAACTAATTAAATAATTTGCACATGTATTTACCTTACAACATGCTAATATTAACATGATTACTTGGATAATGAAGAACTTACTGATATTGAGTTTCCTAACGACATGCTGAAATTTATACTATTAATCAGTTGCTGGGCAGTAGTCATTGGTGTCAAGTTGTTGTTTAACTGTAGAGATTTGCTGTAATTATTCTGAAAAGAAAATAACTCAATTGTTAACACACAAAACACTGTCACTTGGTTAAAACACTGCCTCGGCAGCAGTTAGTAATCAAATCATGACAACACCACGAGTAAAAAATCATCTAATAAAAATCAGGATCAGGTGTAAAAATAAAGAGTAAAACTAATACAACATACGAAATTAATGTATTGTTTTACTCCTGACAACAGGGCATCAAACTATTGTACACGCAAGAGACTGGCTATACATGCCATGGATAGACAGACCAGAATTGCATGAAACAACATGATTAAGGAATGAAATGCATTACCTGGTTATTTCCATTCTGCCCACTGCCATTCATTTGAACTGCCTTAGTGGATGGTTGATTATTGTTGTTGTTTGCTGTTTGTAATGATGACGGCAGAAAACTTGACAATGAATTGGAACAGCTCATTTCTGATAACTCTCTCTGTAGTGTCATCTCCTCTGCATAGGGAAACAGAAAGTTTTATAGAAAGGAGCCCACGTCATTGAATAATAATCTCCAGAAACTTTTAGAACACAATAATTTTAAGGTAAAACCATTTGCAATTCACTTCAAATTGATCTTCATCTTTCGCTCTCTTCCTCGATGACACGACACTAGGGGGGGGGGGGAGACTATGTGGCCATAAACAAAGAAAAAGCATTTGCACGCACACTTTTGGACGGTTGCCAATATTTTTGTTTACCAACCAGCTGACAGCAAGAATAGTGTGCGAGCGCTCTCACTGTATATGCGTAAGGGTGTGCGTAAAACACATACTGTACATAGCATACGAAATCCGCCTTTTGTTTTTGCTTGCACTCATTCGATATTAAAGTTCACTTTACAGGGGGTCTAAAACTACAAGGCACATATGCCAATGAGGACATAATGCTTCCGCATACTCCATATGCATAGATGACGATTTATGTAAAACCCACTAGAGTTGCTATAAATCTAGGCAGTTTTTAAGCCAAACTCTTTCATTACATTCCACAGAAACTGTTTCCCACAAATTCATGCATTATGCAACAAGGTGCATATTAGCATTTGATTAATTAAATAGCTCTAAATTAAGCACGGATTAAACCAACAACGGTACTGAGTTCCAACAACCGCCACAAGGGATGCACTTCATTATCCACTTAATAAGTATTTATTTACATTTATTGATTATTATTGATTTTATTTCATTAAATTTATTCGATCGATTAGAGTTCCATTTCAGTAAACAATTCTATGAAAGCGTGCTCTGCTACACAGAGCAGTGGAGCAAGTGTTCTAAATCACACGGTATTAAAAGATAGCAGAACATATACTGCTTACCTATGCTACATACCAATTTTCAATATTAAAGATCAATTAGAGGTGAATATGAACTAGCATTTAGCATTATGGCACTACCCATTAAAATAAGTTTGAATGTTTTGAAATACAGTATTTATTACCCACTTACTATTACTGAACTACTATGACTGGTATGTGGGATAATGAAAACTGGTTTTTTTAACGGACAGTAACGTCAAATGCCGCATTCATGTCTTTTGTTTTATCATATTATTCGTATAAAGTGCAACTTACGATCTACATGCGCAAAGGCACAGAAGGGGCCGCGCGGACAATACCCCGTCTGCTGCATGTCGTTGCATTTCGTAGACTTGTAAATCTGCGACACGAACAAAGTCACACATCAACTAGATCACTTAGACTAAGCTTTCAAAACCATCAGCACGCGACTCTGAGATTCATCTTTTTGATTGAGATCACACGATTGACGAGTCACACATTGCTATAAACTTTGGCATGCATGGTTACCCAGCTCAGGGTTATGTATTATGGGTAAAAACCACCTTGCCACAAATAACTGTATACACATTTCTCATTAATAAAGACCTTTTTGAGACTTGCATACGCGCACTGACACGCTCGCACGCACACGCATGCACGCACGCACACGCACACACCTCGGGGTGGAACTGCTGCTCTGTCCTCGTGTGGCAGTAGGGGCAGTTGTCACCACTCTCGCAGTTGTTGGGGTCGCCCCATTCGTCGCCGTGTTTCACGTTCGGACACGGTGTGGACCTGCGAGAGCAAAATACAACGTTACACATGCATATCACGCTCGCAATGGCCCGCCGTCTCCGCAATCGAATTAACGGCGGGGGGGGGGGGAAATTGACACACATTCAAACTTGTATGCCTTGCTGGTCACGCAAGGCAAATACTGTATAGAAGAGTCGCGTAACACAGGTTTGAGAGTGGTTACACTGTTCCGGGATGAGCAGACATTTGGGCGATAAGTGAAAGTAATAATGCACTTTTTCATTTGGGAAAGTTAGGAACACGTTTCTTACCACCCATTCAACAAGGATTCTGCTGTTATGCTGTTTAGCCTAGCTGAAAGCAATCACACCTTTGTATTGCAAAAAAAAAGCATATGAAGATGCGGTTATAAATTATCGTTACACACCAATATTTTCTACGAAAAAAACTAACGTCTACCGTCAAAATTGATTTTGGCTGTCATGTTTCCGGAGAACAAAGTAGCGGTTTACTACCCCTGCAATAACAGTGCCCCGCGCACATACACACACACACTACACGGGAACACGCCAGCACACTGAGGAATATCACACGCTCACAATACACTGGACTCAGGAGTTCACCATAGACTGCCATATAATTTAGCCTGTTGACTCTGGTAACAATGCCTCTGAGCCAGCTAGCCAGCACCAATTGACGCCCTATTGTTAGGAGATTAAAGTGGTCCCGTTTGCATGTTATACAGATTATAGTGAGCTCTATAGAAACCCACTACTTCCTAGCAATACTACTCCAACATACAGAAATCTGTTTCGAGTATATAAGTTGAAGGATACGCAGGAGTTTTTAGTGATTAAAGTGATTACGTCACCGTAAATAGTAAAAAATACAAAATAAATTCCCACTTTTTCACAAAATATAAGCAATTCTGTTCACTTTTTATGGTTAAATTGCTGATTATACCTCATCTTTACTATGTGTCGATGTGAACATACACTTGTGACGCATACATAGCCCATAGCAAGCAATTAATGTCAGGAACACTAATATCAAATCGTCCAGGTTTTTTGGATTTTTAACTAGTTGAGAAACAATCTTATCAGGTAAGAATTTGACGATACGTTAGTCCCGTTAGTTCTTACTTTTAATGTAAAAAAATGGCAACAAACATTTTACAAATTTTACCATAGAAAATTCGTGACGTAGTCAATTTAACGACAGTCTTCGTTTCATTTCTAGATTGCAAACCTTCCCACACCATTATTTCGTATTTTTTTACAACCAAATATTCTACCGTCTAATTACGTTCAAATCATTTCACCCTAATCCATTCATTTTCTTACCTGGCTAATTCTACTAAAATGGGTAGATTTAACAGTATTTGGCAGAACATTTCGTGCAATAGATGTATTGATTCGTAGAGGTTCTTTGCCGATATATATCAATTTATCATATTGTGCAACTGTATCCGTTACGGGATACTTTTCAAGAAAGCTTCAACCTGACATGTTCGTGTACAAATACTGGTATTTAAATGTACACTGTGCCAAGCAATACTAAATAGACCGCTATGCTAATACTAGAAGAAAACACCAGGTGAGCACACGTACACAGCTCAGCTGTGCCCTAGGTACTTCCTCTACGCGTGACACAGCAGTTGCATTCAGGCAGCATCAGCTACTACTAGCTGCGCGTACGCTGCGTTCTGGCTATAATGAGGGTGGGGCGTAATATCATACAACCACTCCAATGTACAGTCACGATGCATTGTGTGGATGCTATAGTAACAACACACCCACCATGCATAGCAAGGATGCCGCAACCACGACAAAGCTGCCGTGCCGTGCATTGCATAGATGCTGCAACCACAACCAGTCACCATGCGCAGTGTGGATGCTGCAACCAAAACACAGCCACCATGCACAGTGGGATGCTGCAACCACAACACAGCCACCATGCACAGTGTGGATGCTGCACGAAACACAGCCACCAGCACAGTGTAGATGCTGCAACCACAACAACAGCCACATGCACAGTGTAGATGCTGCAACCACAACACAGTCACCATGCATAGCAAGGATGCTGCAACCACAACACAGCTGCCGTGCATTGCATAGATGCTGCAACCATAACACAGTCACCATGCGCAGTGTAGATGCTGCAACCACAACACAGCACCATGCACAGTGTAGATGCTGCAACCACAACACAGCCACCATGCACAGTGTAGATGCTGCAACTGCAACACAGCCGACACATGCGCAGTGTAGATGCTGCAACCACAACACAGCCACCATGCACAGTGTAGATGCTACACCAAACACGCCACCATGCAGTGTAGATGCTGCAACACAACACAGCCACCATGCGCAGTGTGGATGCTGCAACCACAACACAGCCACCATGCGCAGTGTGGATGCTGCAACACAACACACGCCACCATGCGCAGTGTGATGCTGCAAACCACAACACAGCCACCATGCCGCAGGTGTAGATGCTACAACCACAACTGAACAAGCCACCATGCACAGTGTAGATGCTGCAACTACAACACAGCCACAGCACAGTGTAGATGCTACAACCACAACACAGCCACCATGCGCAGTGTAGATGCTGCAACCACAACACAGCCACCATGCACAGTGTGGATGCTACAACCACAACTGAACACAGCCACCATGCACAGTGTAGATGCTGCAACCACAACACAGCCACCATGCACAGTGTAGATGCTGCACCACAAACACAGCCACCATGCGCAGTGTGGATGCTACAACACAACTGAACACAGCCACCATGCACAGTGTAGATGCTGCAACACACAACACAGCCACCATGCGCAGTGTAGATGCTGCAACTGAACACACCACATGCACAGTGTAGATGCTGCAACCACAACACAGCCACCATGCACAGTGTAGATGCTGCAACCACAACACAGGCCACCATGCGCAGTGTAGATGCTGCAACCGCAACACAGCCCCATGCACAGTGTAGATGCTGCACCGCAACACAGCACCATGCACAGTGTAGATGCTGCAACCACAACACAGCGCACCAGCCAGTGTAGATGCTGCAACTGCAACACAGCACCATGCGCAGTGTAGATGCTGCCACCGCCAACACAGCACCATGCACAGTGTAGATGCTGCAACCACAACACAGCCACCATGCCAGTGTAGATGCTACAACCAGAACACAGCCACCATGCACAGTGTGGATGCTGCAACCACAACACAGCCACCATGCACAGTGTTGACAGCGGGTTCATAGTAGCGAACTCACATGTTTGAAATAAGACTTATAAGACCCTTTCTGGAGATAAGACTTTTTTACGCGATTTCTGATAAGTCACCGACTATTAAGTACACTAATAACATTTATATACCAATTGCACAGCAGATTTAATTATTCCGTATTATATATACAACAATTCTTACTCTAAGTCGGAACAGTTTTATAAAACAATGTTGAAAAATGGTCCTTTGGCAAAACTAAGGACTATTAAGTACTTTTCTAAGATTTCACCAAAAATAAGTACTAATAAGGGCCTTATTTTATTTTGGCACAGTAAGTACTTATAAGACTTTGGAAGACCCGCTACGAACCATGGTGGATGCTGCAACCACAACACAGCCACCATGCACAGTGTGGATGCTACAACGCACAACACAGCCACCATGCACAGTGTGGATGCTGCAACCGCAACACAGACCACCATGCACAGTGTAGATGCTACAACCACAACACAGCCACCATGCAGTGTGGATGCTGCAACCGCAACACAGCCACCATGCACAGTGTAGATGCTGCAACCACAACCAGCCACCATGCACACGTGCAGATGCTACAACCACAACACAGCCACCATGCGCAGTGTATATGCTGCAACCACACACAGCCACATGCGCAGTGTAGATGCTGCAACTACAACACAGCCACCATGCGCCAGTGTGGATGCTACAACCACTTGCACTGATTCACGCTTGGGCTATCAATTGACTTTCATATTCCTTAGAGGCTTAGTGTGCTCACACTCACATGCAGAATTTGAAACGTACACGACATAGTTTAGTACCGGTTCATATCACCCTGTGACCTGTGTACAATTTTACACATTTAAACTCTGCCCTAAATAAATGATGATTTGCTAATTAAAATGCGAAATGTTAAACGACGTTAGACAAAAGTCCTGAACATTCACAGGCATTCAGCATTAAGCATTTCAATAGGTTCAAGTGCTAGAATGATTCTCACAGGCACTGACACCTGAACATTTGTAAATGCATGTCTGAAACACATAACAGGGGGAGCGTAGTAACAACACAACATTCGACGAATTTCAGTTCAAATTTGAAACTGCAATTTTAGATGTGTCGATCACAGCAATTTTCTACATATATGTCTCAGTACACCTAAAGGAAATAACAGCTAAAGACTAAACATAGTTTTGGATTAAACTTTCAATTTAAATCGCAGGATGTACCCGTTGCATATACGCCATCAGTATTACTGTTTGCAAATAAACACTACACTCAAACGTTTTGTTTGCATGTGCTGCACAGATAAAAAACTTGTTTCATATTTTGTACCACGTTTTCTGAATTATTGGCCTTATTCAAAAATGTTTGTGGTAATTGCATCTTATTTGTGCAGTTATCGATTATGATTAACCAACTTGGATTTTTAAAAGCAATAGATTTTATCATATAGCGTTTAGGTAACTATTCAATACACCCCTAGTTGAATGCAAACAAAGCAAAGTGTGTAAACTATAAACATTAGATACTGTACACCATCTAATGTTTATATTCTCATAATAATAGTACATACAATAAACAAAATACCAACGTTTTTTCATTACAACACTTACCTGTACTTGAATTTCTTAGGACTTCGCCTACGGTCTCTACTGTTGTGGTACTGTGGGCAGGCATAGCCCTGCCTGCATAACCGAGGTGGCCGTTTGCACAGTTCAGTCTTGTAACAAGCCAGCACATAGTTTGTATCTGAAACACAGAGAATTAGTAAACATTAGTCACAGAACACAAATGCTAAAATTACGCACCTACTTATTCTGTATGACAGTATGAATACCAGTCAGCTGCGAGCAAGATAGAAAGGCAGGTACATGCAAATACTGTTCCAACACATATTTGCAAGTTGTAGCACTTCAATAACCTACTCATTATTAGATTAGATTAGAGTTATTTATTTAACACCACCGAGTGCATGTATTTACTATTATAAGTATACAACAGGTACAAAGGAGGACCTATAATAACAACAGAATAACAATAGCAATATTATTATAATTGTTTCAGTATTTTTCAGTCAACAAGGATTGCTCATTTCTGATACCTGTTATTGAGTAATTTCCCAATTTTTATTACCCACTATTTTTAATGCACTAGTACTCTCACAAATTCAGCGGAACAAAAAGAACTAACAATACCTCTAACTGGCGAGATAAGTGGCTAAACTACTAAGTGAGTACTATGAAAGGACCGCAATTCTCTTGGAATCACTTCCTGATTCTTATCCCGGCACGTCTTATAGTATGCTCTCTCACATGCCAGCACTATGTAATCATTCAGCACATTGAATCCCCTTGTTCTCTGATAAAAGCATAGTTTATGGTTCGTGTATTAAGTGCTGTAAGTGGGAAATATTGAGGTCAATGCTACATAACGTAGTCGTTAACCTACAACACATATATCGTCAATCACATAAGGGGGCTGTGATTTTAAAACGAACTGATTTTTATAAAACAAGAGCCGCAGAGCGTCTGGGCTCATCTGGGGTCTGTTGCTACGGTTATGAACGTACAATTTCAGTCGTGCGTAGTGACACATTTGTTAGG